TAAATAAAAACATGTCTTTACTCACTAATAAATATTGATCTCTAAACATTCCACACAACCCCTTAACAAACATGTTTCATCTTTTTCTCTTCAATCCATTAAACTATATTTCTTTGTATAATTTAATAAAATCTTAATTTTTTTTAAAATGCTAATTCACTATTTAACAATAATATGCTACAAACCTACAAATTAGACAACATAATAAATCACCCATCCTAGACATAAAAGCACTAATAACACAAATATTCGAGAAAATCATTACTAAAATAATATATGAATATTTCAAAGCATATGAATTTTCACTCATTCATATACCAACTAAATTCAATCGGGTTTTCGGTTAAACCCCAAACAAAAAAATGTCCAAAAAAATGACAAAATCCCATCTATAAAACATCATAACGCATCATCACTGTCTCCGGCTCCGCGCTTGCGCGGAGCTATGAACCTAGTATCCCATAAGTTAATGCAATTATCGGCTTTAAAAGGAAAAGATTTATGACTGATGAAGGAAAAGGAAACAAAATAATATGTAAAAAGAATTAAGTAATTATCAAAGTGTAAGGAAAGATTTTGAAAAAAAACCAAGAAAATATCAGAAGAAACTAAAAAAAAGAAGCTAAAAAGAAAATAAAACAAATTAAGAAGAAGATCGATTGATGAATAAATCTATCATTTGTTTTCCTAAAATCTATCATAAAATCACTTTATGATAATTCTTTTATAGAACTAAAAAATATTTCAAAGTTTTTTATTAAATAAATTATTCTATGAAAACAGACTACATGACATCTTGCACCTATGGAACAACACTTTGATTTCTATATTGAGGGATTGTTGAACCTATACAAGCAGCATCGAATATTGTCTCGGTGACAAAAAAAAACCGGTAACTAACGTATACAAATATTTTTTTTAACTAACACATACAAATGATTACTAATATTTTTGTTAAATGAATTAATAGCATAACGCATAACATATCTTCTTACCATTATAAAATTTAAATAACAGTAAATTTGTGATCTATAAATTTATGAATGTTTTCATTATATTTTATTAAGTCAAAATAATGAAAAAAATAATTATGTAATCTGTTGTTCAAAAAAAGAAATGGAAAATGCTTTCTCAAAAAAGAGTGATTACATTATCTTCAAAAGCTAGCCAATGACCTAACGAATTATTGGAAGTGTTGAATAAATTAGAAAATATAAGAGAAATTGTTTATACTATTTATGTAAAATAAGTTATATATACATATAATAAAATTGTTGCGTGTATAAACTATTTATAAGCATTAATGATACTTAGATTCATAAATAAATACTAAATTACACAACATATATAAAATGGTTTGATTTGGTTTGGATGTGAAATTAATGATTGGTGTGGGCATCGAAAAAATTGTATTTCATAATTGATTTGGACTTAGGCCGAATTAGATATCATCACGGAAGATTAAGAAAATAACTGTTAGCATTATGGTTATAAATCAAATGATTGTTCTTTTTTCAATTATACACACTCACTCTAACATAGAATACAATCAAATCAGTTTAATTTGCCGCGATCATCCACCATTTCGTATTTAATCAATTAACTAATGTCTAATGCAGACTAATTTATTTAAACAAAGTGTTCTACGTTCTACAATGAAATACTAATTTCAAACAACAGAAAAATAACTTAAAAGAGACCAAACAAAATATCCAATTACAAAGAACCAAACTAAATTAGATTCAAAAATATAACAAACTCAAACTGAAGATGGTAAATAGGATCAAAGTAATGAAAACATAGATCAGTAAAATATATCCCGTCCGTAGGACGGGCCGATCCTAGTATAAAAATAAAATAAATAAGGAAAAAATAAGGAAAAATTAAGAATTTTTGAGAAATATATAGATAAATTATGATACTTTTAAAACAAATTTAGATATATTGCTAAATTAGAACTTATAGTTTTAAGGAAACATCAAACATAGTTATTAACTTTTTTTAAAAAATTATTAAATCATACATATATCATTAATTTTTTTTTTGAACATGGTCTAAAATTTATTTGAGACGGTCCTGTTCACTATAAGCAACTAAATTTAAATTTAACAAATGCTAGTGGTTGATACAACACATGTAGGGATAGATAAATTCATTGTCAACTACTAACTTACTTAAAGAAACCATCGTCCCCCAACATACTGCTACCTGTTGTTTCTTCTTACAGTTATGGTAAAATATGAACGATGCTTGTTAAATGAATAATTAGCGATTCCTAAACACTATTTAACACTTTGATCCTAAAATCATCAAAGCAAAAAAGCAGAAAAAAATAAAATAAAATGATCAAACCATTTTCCCTCTTCATCTTCATCGCGTTCTTCATCAGCCATAGCAGGTCTTCACCGCCACAGCTCCGGCGCAACTCCAGGAAAACTTGGACTTCGCCTGCGCGTCTGTTCCGTGCGATGTATTCGCTTACACGTGTCATTTACAACTCTGTACCAAAGATCATGTTCGCGATAGAGCCGTCTCAAATAAATTTTAGACCATGTTCAGAAAAAAAAATTAACAATATATTATGATAATGAATTTTTTTTTAAAAGTTAATAACTATGTTTGATGTTTCTTTAAAAATTATAAGTAATAACCTAACAATATATCTAATTTTTTTTAAAAAAATTATCATAATTTATCTATATATTTTTTTTTTTTTTTTTTATTTTATTTTTCCTTATTTTTTCCTTATTTTTTTTTTTTTTTATTTTTATATTTGGGGCCTTGTTCGACCGCTCTACTTGCACATGCTATTAGACGTCTCTGGTTCGCGATGAACCTATACTACAAGCAATTCGGAGAGACTGAGGGGCATTCTTGTCGACCAAAATCCGATCTCCCTCTTCTTCTGCCACGAGGAAAGAGGCAGCCACAGAAGGCGGAGCCAGCGGCCGTACTGCCTTAGTCAGCATCCTTGTTTTCGTAGTTGTCTTTTTACTTGTTGGTGGTTATGTTTGTATAATCAAGAAACCCCCCTGCTTAATGTCTTCGACTCTTGGGGGAGCTTTTTATTAAGCTTGTTGTAGATCTTGTTTGAATGTCATTTCGCCTTTCAAAAAAATGAAAGCTAATCGGACAACGAAAACTACATTGAGCTGTTCGGTTCGTATAATTAATAATTTATAAAATATTGGTATTGATCTTGTAACTCTAATCTCGAATCGGATTTGGTTTAGTACTTTTTGAATGATGATATTTTTCGAGTATATATCTAAATGAACAAAAAAAAATTGGTTCCAGATTGGATTGACTTGCTATAATCCAAATATATAGAAAATAAATGAATTTATCCAAAATATGCAGTTCAGATTTATATATCCAAACATGTCCAAAAATATTCAAAATTAACCAAAGTAACAAAATACCTAAAATATAGAAAATAATTCAAATTTGTATTTAAATTTATAATTATTTTAATAGTTGAAATATTGTAAGTATTAATATATTTATACCTCAGCTAATTTTTGGATACTAGTTATTTTTTATAGTTCGAAACCGGTTCTTTGGATATACAAATCATGTACAGTTTGGATATCTAAGCTGAATCGGGTTCAGTTTGGTACTTTAAAATTTTGAACGGATCTGGTTTTCCAGATAATTTATCCATACCTATTTTTGGGTCAACCTACTAAATTTCATTCTAGGTTTAATATATGTTTGAGTCAGTTCAATTAATAGTAGTTTATGTTCAAAAGATTAGATTCAAATATTAAGGCAGATCAGTGTAACATAAATTTGAAATTGAAAATTTGAAGTGCTTATATAGAATTTTAATACTCATTTTAAATATCAACTAGTTTTTGACCCGCGCTTAAAAGCGCGGGTTAATTTTTGGTTAATAAAAATATTTGATACAAATTAGCATTTTAGTTTTGTTGTAAATATTATGTTCAAAATTGTATTATATCAAAAAATAAATTATTTTTATCCAGTTATTTAATAATTGTATTTTAAATTATTTCAAATTTTTATATGATGTGATCAAACTAAACACGTCTATTATTTGAAAATAAATTATTTTTAAATTAAAAAAAAATTTCTTAAACCCTTTTTATGATTGAATACCTAAACAAAAGTCAGCAAGATTCTGAAGCGGAAACTCCTCCACACCTTCTCCGCCATTCTCGACCGTTATCATCCCCTAGACGGAGAAACACACCTGATTTGCCGTCATTAGCAACCTCTCCAGTCTCGACCGAAACTTTTTTTTTTCTCTCGAAGTTTTACCCGAATTATATTTTATGAAACTCTAAAATTTATCCAAAACCTAAAATTATATCAGAAAACCTGAACCCAAAACTTAAAAAAAATCCAAAATACCAAAAATATACCCAACTACTCAAATATACCTAATATATACAATAATTTGCAGATATTTTGGGTATCCGACCGGATTTCGGGTAGAACCTAAACTCGAACTGAGATCCGCATGTCAAAAAAAAATCCAATAGGTACATAATTAAAATAGTTACACAGTATATTTAATACATATTTTATTGTATTTAAATAAACATATTAGTTATGTTTCACTAATAGAAAGATGCTATATTTGAAATTAAATATATGTGTGTTATGTGTGTGCGACGACATATATGTGTGTTTATGTGCGTGCGCAGGTAAGAGATCAATTTGCACAGAGTAGTTCATTTCGTTTTGTTTATGATTTCCTTACCCCACTTATTTAATCCAGGCTTAGTTTGGTTATATTACAACAAAGAAACCACAACTTGGTCGAACACAAATCACAAAATAATTATATAGATGAACCTATAATGTGAACACAGCAGAGGAAACCTGTTTCATATATCGACATTCGCAGTCTGTATGGGAAAAACGATTGATCTCGTTAACAAAAACAAAAGAAAACCACACGCCTACTTGTCTTTTCTTTTCCTCTTTTATAGCTTCATACGAAAGTAACACCTCTTTGAATTTTGCTTCAGCTACATCTGCAACAATCGATGAGACCACACTCAAATCAAACACACATTAAGATCAAAGTAGGGTCAATTATATTAAACTATAACTCACCTTTGTTATCTTGATTTTGGTCTGGATGGAATGGAATTCCATCGCCTTCTCCCTGAAGGCTTTCTGAATGTATAACAAAATCGAATCAAAGCATAAGGACTAAGCGAGGATTACTGCACCATCAGAGTTGTTTCAATGCTTACCTTAATCTCAGGTTCTGTGTATGGAGTTGCCCTGGACCTACAACACAAGAAACACGTACTAAGTTCAATCGACTTGTTCAGACTTAAGTAGCTAAAATCAGAATCGAACTGTTTCAATATTGACCAAGAACTTAAGATTTAAACAGAATCAATGACCAGAAACAGAAACAGAACCAAGACCAAACCGCCGAAAGTGACTCAAAGAGGAGTTTCAACTCTCTCTCTCAAAGCCCTAAGACTTGTAAACAAACTAATGGTCCCAAGATCATAATCTGTTCTAACCCACACTTATGTACACTATTTCTATCAGTTTCATCCATAAAGTGTGAAGCGAGAACCATGTACAAATATCTACGTGTGAGCTTTTTTTATGTGTGTGTGTGAGCATTTTGTTTCTATAATAGAAAAAAAAAAGAAAAAAAAAACCTGCTGAGCCATAAAACAGAGCAGTGATGCGATAATGGATAGACTCTAGTCTGTTTTGGAGGTTCCTGGTGATTATTGGTCCTTTGGTTTCTAAAGGTAGACTCAGTTTTCCAGTACCAATCATTTCGCTGATACTGCTATTGGTGCCGGTGAGCATTAGGATCATTTTCCTTCCAATTCTCTAAATTTGTTCCTCTCTCTGTTGAAAACGCTTTACACACGCCTAATGCGCTCCTGCAAGAGAGAGCATCAATTATCAAAAAGATTGATGAGTTCTGAGTTTCCATTTTCCAGGTAAAAAGAATCGCTTTCTTTATTCCTCTCTACGCGGTGACAATAAGGTTGGCTTCTTAACAGAGAGCTCTAGTGTGAAAGCCCCTGAAGAATCTACCAAAAGGTAATGACACCGCAGTTAAACCCTATTATTGTCTCTTATAATTCAACACACACCTGGATCTTATTTTGTCTGTTTAGGTTGGGAAAACAAATGGGATGAGTGAGAGAACAACTTATAACTAATTTGGATATTAGAATGTCTACAGTTCTAAAATTAAGTGTATTAAAATTCTTTAAAAAGTAATTTAGATAAGAGATTAGATAATAAAATAATTTAAGAATAAAAAAAACTTAATAATATTTAATTGATGTATTTTCATGTATTTTATTAGCAAAAAAAATTAGATAGAGTTTATTACTTAGATATACACTCAAACAAGTCAATGAACATAATAGTACAAAACAATTTTAAATAAATAAACTATTAAAATATAAAATATGTGCGTAGCTGTACTTCAATTCTATGTGGTCTATCGTATACTCCCTAAATTTGTTAATATGCAAGTAATGATTATAAATTTTTAATTTCAAACAAAAATAAATTGAAATATATGTTACTATGATAATTTAGCTATTATGTTAAATCTAAAAAATATTTATTATTATATACATTTAATTTAAAAAAATTTCCCAAAGTAAACATAAATATGTTCTAAAATGTTTAAATATATGTTAGAATGCATATGTGATTAATTTAATTTTTACTTTATAAAATAGTTGAAATTTAATTATGTTATATATACTTTATTGTAATAGTTTAATTACGTATGAATTATGTATATATAAGCATTATAAATTTGTTTGTTTTAAAAATAACTTCAAACTGAATATATATTTAGTTGTTAACAAAGTAAAATAAGAACAAATTTATAATATACACATAAACATTAAAACAATAAACATCTACATTTTCAATAACGAAGATGTTAAAATATTTTCTCAGAATGCAATAGTAGAAATGATATATGTAAACCGGGACTTCTAGCTCTAGTGGTAAAGGGCTTACAGCTGTGAGTACCGCCACCTGGGTTCGAATCCCGGCCACTGGGAAATTAACATTTCGGCATCGCCAGAGACAGAGGACCGACACGTGGCAACACGTAGCTAGTCTGGACCACTTATGTGGGGTTAGGATACCTCTGTATAATTCAAAAAAAATGATATATAAGAGAAAACGAGGCCGCCCACCTGGGTCGCGTAACTAACCAAAAGGTGTGTTCTTAACCTCAGACTTATCCAACTGAGTTTTAAATTGATTCTTTAATAGTAATAAAGTTAACTTTATTCACAGCTCTTATGATTAATGATCCGCCAACATTCAAGCCAAAGTTCTTTGACTGTAAGTGTAATGGTTTGCATTACCTTATTGATATCATTACTTATGTATAACACAAGCTGAGTCTCAAGTTTTATCGTATAGGTGGTTGCGAGAAATGCCATTACTACGGTATGTAACCATACCCGGATAGTTTTATTGCATGATGAAACAAAGCTACCGTTCACTTTGCGTCGGCGACAGTTCTCCATCAGATTGTGTTACGCAATGACAATCAACAAAAGCCAGGGTCAAAGTTTGAAAGAAGTTCTCTTATATCTACCTAATCCGGTCTTCGTCCATGGTCAACTATATGTGGCTCTCTCACGCGTTACAAGCAAAGCATGACTAAAAATCATTAAGGGCCATGATTCACACCCTCAGAAAGTGAAAAACATAGTCTACAAAAAGATCTTCAACCGGCTTCCTTCCGATGAAAGTAAGTAAAAATTTATACTTAGACGCAAAACTAAAAAAAAATAAAGGGTTATTTAGCTGAAAAATCACAATTGTCTCCACAGTGCTCTAGCTAATAACACAAAAAATTGGAAGAAAAAATGCTACTGTGATGATGGATATCTTCTCACCTCCAGATACCTATACATATATTATGAAATAAATAAACATATTTCTATTAATAATAATTACTCACTAACTTATTTTAATTAATTTTCAGGCCCCAGTTCAAAAAAATCTCACCCAATCTACATCCTCTACCTTGAGAATACCACCTGCTTCCCCATCATTAATATTTTCCCGTTGTTTAAGACTTTATAAATTTGTTCTTCAAGATTATGAAAACTATCATCTACTTCTAAACATTATTTCACAAACAATTCTATTTCATTATGCATCAAACATTACTTACTACCTGCTTTATTCAATACAAGTTCTTTGGCTGAACATTTTTCGAAGTTATTAAAAGATATTATGTATAAATCACCTGCTAATATATATTAGAATCTTGGGTTTCCAACATTTTTAGTCAACACTTTTTCTAAAAAATACATAATGACATAACAAATGTTTTTTCTCCTATATAATAATCCGGGCGTAGCCCGGGAAAAGGAGCTAGTAACTTTTAAAATCTATCAACTTTTAAACTCTACAAAAGTTCAAGTGCCAATAACCCCCCCCCCCTTAGTGTTTTCGGGACCCATTGACAAAAAAACACTAAGCACCCTTCCCCCCTTAAGCATCCCTATTAAGGGGTCAAGGGAAAAAAAATATTATAATATAGGTAGCTGATGAACTTGTCTTACAGGGGTGCGTCCGGATAAACTCGTTTCATCACTATTTCGCGGGTCCCACGCCACGTGGTGGCTCACGATTAATCTGCTTATTTTTTTATTTATTTTTAATAAAAAAATAAAACGTAAAAAATAAAAATCAATTAAAGCTTTGAAGTCCTCCCCTCCCCCCCCCACCCCCGTTCACGGATAGGGATGCTCTAATGATGCTCTGAATATTAGGTTATGTTTTGATATTCAACTTAAATATAAATTGGTGAAACTGTTACATAAATTATATATAAACATATACATATGGTGTGATCAACTTTTTTATATTACAAATATAACTTTATGAAGTTTTTAAATAATATAGCTGCCTACGTTTATAACAACTTTACCATATATACTTTTTGAATATCAAAATATCTAGTATTTTGACTGTGGTCAGGTAGCTCTTTTGTTCTAACAATCGGCCCCTAGGCGTTAGGTGCCCCTTTTCTGCCCCGATTTATGTTAAATCGCTGTAGAAAATTGGTCGTCCAAATTTTAGCCCGATTGGACCGTCTAGATAACCGCCTAGCCCTCTAGGCGGCCGCCTAATCTATTTATTATTTTTTAAATAATATTTTTATATATTTATTTGATCTAAAATTTAATAAATATAACTTATAATTTAATAAAATTATATCATATTAATTTTATATATATTCTATTTGTGTGTTTTATAAGATTCTAAACATGAAAATGTATTAATGTTATACACAATTAAAGATTAACATATTTTATTACATATTAAATAGTCTAAAAATTCCATCCTGTATAATCTCCGTTTAGTCTCCAATTTTATCTCTAGGCAATAGGCCCAACCGTACCGCCCAACTAGCGTTTAGCGATTCCCAAACATAATGTAGCTCTAGTAAGAAGCTCATATTCACAGAAGGAAAGAGTCACTGACCTAGAAACTCCGTTTAATGTTCTTTCTAAAGTTTTGTAACAAAATATGTGTAATAGAGCAATATACATAATATATATATATATACTAGATACAGACCCGTGCTGTGCGCGGATATTAGTTGGATAAATCCTTTTCGCAATTATTACTAAGTTTAGGATGTATGATTTAAATTATTTATTTATAACATAATGTCTTCCTTATAATTTACTTTTGTTTAGTTTTTTGACTTGTATATAACTTTTTTTTTCAAGCACACGATACATATTAGAAATAAAAGTTTGTTAGATTGCTCCCACATAATACTATTAATGGTTTAAATATCTTTTTTCTGGGAGATATTGCAGTTTGGCGTTTGTCATAAATATAAAGCTTGTTAGATTACTTTTGTTTTGTATGTTGTTTAGTTTTATTTTTTTTAGAATTGATGGAATGATCATTAGATTAAATTTAAATCATAAAATTTAAAGAATTAATGGAACTATTATATTATATCATTTTATTCAAAAATGACTTGCACAATTCTGTTATAGTGTAAAAGTCAAAGAAAGTAGTCTGAGTTGGCAATATAATTATATCATATCATTTTATTCCAAAAATGAGTACTTCTGTTATAATGTAAGTCAAATTCAAAATCAAAGCAAATAGTCTGAGTCAAAAATACGTATAATATAATATATAGATACGTTTGAGAAGATTATATCTATATTATTAAAAATGAAGAACATTTGAGAGTTGTTTGGAAATATGGATAGTAGTTAATTAAAAGAATATATTGTTGTTTGACAATATGGATTTCAGTATATTAAAAAAATAAGTTTAGTTATTAAGAAAAATTGAAAGTCTTATGAAAAACTATCTATTTGAGCTAGTTTTACAATTTATGAAAATGAGCCAATCTAATTACTTAAAAAAACATATTTTGTTTAAAATAATCATAATACAAAATTTAAACTTTATATACATATTTCAAATCAAAAAAATAATTTAAAATTAAATTTGATTCTAAAATATACATATATTCAAAAATTGATTTTTACTAAAATATTTTTCAATAGCGATTATAAAAAAAAGTTTTCAATATATATAAGAAAATTCTAAATACAAAGCCGAAACACCAATTTATATTGTGGCTTTTATATTTCACATTAAGTTTTTAAAATATAATATATGTGATTATTTATATTAAGCTTATGAATTTGACTCTTTACTCATGGGATCTGCCCTGTTTGACACACTACAGGGTGGGTGGGGATTAACAGATTTTGAAAAATATGTGAGATGGGTGCGGATTTAGTATATTTTATGCGGAGCGGATGTGGATGCGGGGC